TAAGTAGGGTCTGTACTTTCTTCCCCACATCTCTTTATCAATTTCTTTAAAGTTTGAACTGTTCGTTCTACCATCCCGTTACTCTGTGCATGGTAAGGACTAGATGTTACATGGACTATATTCCAAGTTCTAGTAAAGTTCTGGAACTCCTTTGAAAAGAATGGAGGCCCATTTAACTAACCAAAGTTTCAGGAATTCCAAAGTTCGAGAAAGTTCTCTTTTATCTCCTTATTATGGTGTCTGTTGTCATATCTTGGAGTTGATATATTTCTGGGTATTTGCTGAAGTAGTCCACTATTAAGAGATATTTTGAGCTTTCTATTTGAAAAATGTCGATCCCTAACTTTTGCCATGGATAATCAGGTACCCTTGAAGAGATCCATGATGTAGTTAAAAAACTAGCGAATGGCAAAGCAGTGGGACTCGATGGTATACCAAATGAGTTGCTAAAGAATTTACCGATACCGACTTTAACTAAATTGAAAAACCTATTCAACAAAATAATGTCCACAGAAAAATACCCGCAACTCTGGACGAACTCAATAGTACACCCTATATATAAAAGCGGTGATAAGAATAACCCAACAAATTATAGAGGGATTGCCCTCTGCAGTAATATATCTAAATTATTTACTACAATACTAAGAAACAGATTAAACAACTGGATAGAAAAAAGAGAGATTATTTTAGAAAACCAAGCAGGTTTCCGTAAGAACCGATCATGCACTGACCACATACTACTACTGAATTCACTCATCCAACTATCTCTGAGAAGAAAACGAGGCAAGCTATATGTCTTCTTCGTCGATCTGACTAAAGCTTTCGACACAGTCCCACATGATTTACTTTGGCAAAAATTGCAGAAAATGGGCATTAGCAATAAATTTGTAATGCTGATAAAAAACTTTTACCAAGAAGCTAAGATTACTATCCGATGGAAAGGACAATATTCAAGTAATGTGAAAATTAATTCTGGAGTGTTGCAGGGAGAATCACTTTCCCCACTTTTATTTATACTATATATGGCCGACCTAATAGAACTTTATAATAACTCAGCACTTACAGGATTTCATCTCCCTGATTTTGGTGTTTTACACCTACTTATGTATGCGGACGACATAGCCATAGTTGGAGAATCGAAAATTAATTTACAAATTAAAATTAATTTACTAAAGTCTTACCTGGATAATAACAAATTGGTTTTAAATGAAAATAAATCCAAAATAATGGTATTCAGAAATGGAGGAAGACCGGCAAGACATGAAAACTGGCACTGGGGTGACACCCCACTGACTGTTGCGTCCAATATTACATATCTGGGATATCCATTCACTTCCACTAATAATAGTAAGAAGGTAGCCCTCTTTTATAAAGCCAAAGCAAATACGGCAATAAATGCAACTATTAGACTGATAAAAAAAGAAAAAATTAACTCATTAAAAGTTGCACTCAATCTATTTGACTCAGTAATTAAATCAATACTACTCTATGCGGCCCCTGTGTGGGCTTGGGACAATACGGATATTATAGACCAATTACAGAATACGTTTATCAAAAATATTCTGAATCTACCAAGATATATACCAGGGTATATTGTAAGGCTGGAAACAGGCAGAATATCTCTGACTTTTACAACGATCAAATTAATTATGAAATATTTCATTAGATTACAAAAAATGGAGGACAATAGACTACCTAAGCTATGCTGGAATAGATTGAAGGAAATTTCCTTAATGACAAAAAAACCTATAGGATTTTGTAAGAATATTATGGATATCATCAATCATTGTGGACTCACATGGCTAAACTATAGGTTAAATTATGATGACATACAGATCGAACTTCCGAATATACTAAAAATAAAAATTGAACAGCTATTGCAGCAAGATCTGGCAAAATTATCTCTTACGAAAACATACTCAAACTATAGGTTACTTTATGATTCATTCATTCCAGAACATTATCTTTCATGCAATTTGTCTTCAGCCTTAGTGAGTTTTATTGCACAGATCAGATTAATGTCAACAATGATCAAAGAAAATCATATTTACGCAATTAAGAAAGAAGATTTGTACTGTGGGTTATGTGGAAGTCAGATAACTGACGAAATATACCATTTTATTGCTGAATGCGGGGATCTGGAAGGAGAGAGAAAAAAGATCCTGAAAAGTCTTCCTAGACCGCATTTGAACTCAATAAAGCTACTAAAAACTGTTTCAGATAAGAAAAGTTGGGCAATTGAACTGTTCAACTATCAAAAAGCGGTTGAAAAAAAAATTGCACTCGTGGAAGAGAGAAGAACAGGGGCACAATAAAAAGTCACCCTGTTTGCCATACCTTAATTGTAAATACTCTATCTTCCCCTTTTCTCTTATGTTTAATTTTGTCTATAACTATACGACGAATCCGTACAGGGCAAGATGCCCTAATAAAGTTTTTTTTTTGTTGTTGTTGTTGGATAATCAGGTACTTGGTGTGGAAGCATAGGTTCTTTAAGATTTGCTCTTGATGTTTGTTGACAAATTGAACAGTTATTGATTAATTCTTCAATTTCTTTATTCATTCCAGGCCAGTAAATGGATCTTTTGGCTAATGCAATTGTATTGTTTATACCTTGATGTGAAGCATGGAGTATCTTTAAAATATCGCTTCTTTGGGTTTTTGGTATTAGAAGTGTATTACCTCTGCAGATCAAGTTTTGCCATTCATGAAGTTCTTCTTTGAATTCCCAATAAGGTTTGAGGTTGGAAGGCAAGTTCTTTTTGTGTAAGGGCCAACCTGTTAAAATATATTCTTCAGCAAACAGCATTCTTTATCATTTAAAGTATCCTCCTGTAGTCTCGTTAATCTCTGGTCTTTGATATCAACATTTAAAACAAACGTTTGAGTACATAAGTCTAATTCTTTATCTTCCATTTGTTCCTGGGGCAAGAAATGTCTGGAAAGGGTATCAGCAGGTATCACTCTTTTCTGGGATGAACTTCAATTCAAATTGATAATTTAATAAATACAATGACAACCTTTGGAGTCTAGGTGACATTTGATCAAAGTTTTTCTTCAATAAAGAAACCAAGGGTTTATGATCTGTATATGCAGTAAATTTTCTACCATAAAGGAAATAATGGAACCTTTTACATCCAAAATATAGAGCCAATAATTCTTTTTCAATTTGGGAGTAATGTTTTTGCGGAGAAGTGAGAGATGCAGATGCATAAGATAAAGGTTTTTCTTTTTGCATTAGTATAGCACCCAACCCATCTTTGCTTGCATCAGCAAAAAGTTCTAGTGGTTCATTAGGATCAAAGTGTCTCAATACTGGTGGACTAGTTAGGAGAGTTTTGATAAAATTGAGCTCTTGATCTGCTGCAATATTCCAATTCCAGATTATATCCTTTTTAAGCAGGTTTCTCATATTAGAAGTATTTGATGATAAGTCCGGTATGAATTTGGCTAGATAAGTTACGGTCCCAAGTATCCTTTGCAATTCTTGCTTATTTTTAGGTATTTGCATATTTTGAATGGCTCTAACTTTATCTTGATCAGGTAAAATTCCTTCCTGTGAGATGGTATGACCTAAAAATTTACTACCCCTGTGGCCATTTGAAGTTTATTTAATGTAAACTTCAGTCTACTTTCTCTGGCCAAATCCAAAACCTTTTTTAGAGTAGAGTTATGATCTTCACACAATTGAATTACCCCATATTAGAAGATCATCTATATAGCAGACCACATTAGGGATATCACAAAAAATCTTGTGCATAATTTTTTGAAAAATTTCAGGTGCACTGGAAATTCCAAATGGTAGCCTCAAGAATCGATAACGCCCAAATGGTGTACTCATCACCAAATATTTAGATGTATTTTCACTTAGAGGCACTTGCCAAAATGCAGATTTCGCATCTAATAGAGAATAAAATTTAGCCTTAGGTATTTCTGCTAAAATGTTTTCAGGTGCAGGTAAGGTGTAATGCTCCCTCAAGACCCATTTATTCAGTTCCCTTGGGTCAATGCATATCCGATATTTGCCCGATGGTTTCTTTACCACTACCATTGGGTGCGCCCATACCGTCGGTTCTTCTATTTTTTCAATAATTCCATCTTTTCCATTTTAAACAGTTCTTCCTTTACTGGTTGAAGCAATGCTCTGGGTAGTCTTCTGGCTGGACATATTTTAGGCTCCGCCTTGTCCGATATTTTAATGTCATACATATAACTCAAATGACCATTTCCTTTGAAAACATCTTTATATTCATCCAAGAGTCCTGTAAGAGTAACGCTGATATCACTTATTGTTTCCACTCTTTTTACTAAATTTAATTTCTCACACTCATCCAGACCTAGTATAGGAACTGCTGAGTTGTTAACAATTAAAAATGTAACTTTTCTGCAAGCGTATTTCGTCTTACAATCTAGCTGGCATTTTCCTACTACTGGGATTTGTTGCCCTGTATAAGTATATATTTTGTAATCTGCTGTTTCCAGCAATGGCATATTAGGCCATTCTTTAATTAGCCTTTCCGGCAGAATATTTACATCTGCTCCTGTATCAAGTTTAATATCAACAGGATGTCCTTGTATGTAAATTAGTTCCTTCCACGGTTTCCTTAACACTTGGCCGACCATGATTGAGTCTATAATCAGTAGGTTATCATTTTCTTCCTCAATTGGACACGGCACCTGCCCGGTAAGCAGAAGGTTGTGGGTTCGATTCCCGCCCCTGGACACTTTTATTTTTCCGTTGCCATTACTCTTCACATTTTCACCCTTTCATACGTCATCCAATCATATTTAGACCATTACTCTTCATATATTCAACCTTTTCATACGTCATCCAAAAAGTTAGAAATAGTACATATTTCTCTTTGAAATTAATATTGATTTTCACAAAAAAGAAACTTATGCGGGGAGGCTTTAAGTATTACTTTATAATCATATGCCGCAGTCCATTATAATGTATTAAAAAAGTTACTTTAAGTATTAGTTACCAACGGAAAAATACGTCCAGGGTAGCCTAGTGGACACGGCACCTGCCCGGTAAGCAGAAGGTTGTGGGTTCGATTCCCGCCCCTGGACACTTTTATTTTTCCGTTCGCCATTACTCTTCACATTTTCACCCTTTCATACGTCATCCAATCATATTTAGACCATTACTCTTCATATATTCAACCTTTTCATACGTCATCCAAAAAGTTTGAAATAGTACATATTTCTCTTTGAAATTAATAGTGATTTTCACAAAAATGAAACTTATGCGGGGAGGCTTTAAGTATTACTTTATAATCATACGCCGCAGTCCATTATAATGTATTAGTAGATTAAATTTATTTCGAAAGTCAGCACCCAAAATTCCCTTATCAATTTTTGCAATTTTAAATGGAAATGTGAAATCTCTACGCAGGCCCAAATCAATTTCGAGCAATTTTGTACCATAGGTATCAATTTTGGTACCATTTGCAGCATAGAGCTTGAGTTCAGCTTGCTTTTTGTCTCCACTTTTTGCGGGTATCAAGCTGACATCAGCACCACTGTCCACTAAGAAACGCAATCCCGTTTGTTTGTCCTGGACAAATAGGCGAGGTTTGCGGTAATGGATGACTTGTTCAGCAGCAGAGCTTACCGCTAATTCTGCTGCTGAATGGAGTTTTCCGAACTCCATTCACATGGTGGGATGCATTTTGAAGGGGTACATCTTTTGCCAAATTTGAAGTGGTAATAACACAATTTTCCTTTAGGATTATATATTTTTCTTGATTGGCTACGATCGTTAAAACGACCACTAGAGCTACCACTCTCGCGGGTTCTGCCACGTTGATTTAGTGTAAGTTTCTCAATTTGTAGTTCAAGGGATTCTATTTTTTTTTTTTAAGTTCGGTAGTGTTGTTATTAGATTTATTAGTGCAACAAATTTCAGCTGAAGGGTTTAGATCAGAAATTTTATCTGCCATTACAGCTAACTTATCCAAATCTTCCTCACTCACAACAATTATGCTTCTAATGGTCTGTGGAAGTTTTTCTAACCAGATGGTTTTCATCATATTGATAGAAATGTCATCCGGAGACAATGAACGCAGTTTTTGCAGAAGCTAACTCGGCTTCATATCCCCTAGTTCTATTCCTGAAATGAGTTGTCTGATACGGGAAGTTTCACTTTCTTTAAAGAGATTCAAAAGTCTTTCTTTAGCAAAAGAATATATATTTTCCTCTGGCGAGGTTATTATGTCCCATAAGTTTTCAACATATTTAGGTTCTAACTGAGATATCAAATAGTTGAACCAAGTTTTTCACTAGTTACATAATTAATGGAAAATTGAGCCTCAATTTGATAAAACCAAATCTCAGGTTTTTCGCGCCAAAATGGGGGTATTTTAATGCTTACCTTGCAGGCTTCATGGTAGGGTTCAGTTCCGCCGCCGCTCGTTAGCTTCTCTTCGGTCGCCATCTTGAATTTCTAAAAATAATGTTTGTTTTTCTTGATTTAATTGTTCTTTTTAATTCCGGCTCACCAATTGTTGCTGGTTGGTTTGTAATTCCAAACGGAATCCAACAACAAATTATTTCTCGTAAAATCAACTTTTAATTACATTTATCTAATACAAATTATCAGAGGGGTTAAATTGTTGTATACATGTTGACGTTCTTTTGTTTATATCTGTCGTGGTCAAATAACATTTTAATATTATACAATTTTAAAATATATATGTGTTTGATATATTATATATAAATACTAGCGGATGTACCCGGCTTCGCCCAGGTTTTTCTCGAGGGAATGTTTGTAGTCTAGTAATAAGAAAATATACTACACCTAAAAACTATCAGAGAAAAGAGAAACCTCGGAAGGTGAACAGAAAAATGCTTACAATGGATGTTATGTTTACGATATCAAGTTAAATAAAAACAAAGATAAAATTTGCATATGTTGGTCACTATAAATTTGTATATTTGTTAGGCGAAATTCGAAACATGATAAAACAATTGGGTATTTAAAAACAAATGTAGAAATAAAAGTTGAAGTATAATAAACAATGTTAAAGATTAGTTTAAAATTATTATTCAAGATTGTGTGTGAATATGTGAGAAAGATGTAATATCGTTGTTGTTTTCTTGGCCGACTGTTTTACATATGGTGTTATCTTAAAATTGCTTGTTTTGAATATTTTTTAGATTGAGATTATTAGCTAGTATGTAAAAAAATTAACTCTGTTGAAATTTAATTTTGTATTTATATATATAAATAAAATTAACTCTGTTGATATATTTGTATTTAATCAATAACAGCGAAGTTACGCATGTTAATGTTAGGAAATATATTTTTATGTTAAGCAAAACCTGCTCCATCTCGTTTTACATAAATGTTGAAAATTTGGTTGAAATTGATGCATTGTAACGAAAGTTTTTAGTGATGTCCACTTATGAAATTTCCATTTTATTAATATAGATTTGCATTTTTAATGATTTATGATTTATATTTAGAATGATATATAATTATTTTATTATATTATTATTACAACAAATAATGAGATATTAAAGTTAATTTATATAATTTTAATAAAGTATATTTTATGAGCATTATATATTTATAAGATGAATATTTTAATTTAATTGTAGGATTAAAACTCTTAAAATCACGATCATTAAAAACAATAATAAACATTAAGAGGAGCCTCTTGTGTAAATTTCTTTAATACCGCAAGCTTCCGAACAAAACGTTCTTCAACGGGCGTGGATAGTAAACCGTACTAACGGTTAGTTCTTCTTACTCTTAATTACTCCTCTTACTCCTCTTAATGTTTATTATTGTTTTTAATGATTTTAATTTAATATTTGAATTAAATATTTATTAAACAAATTAAAACATATAATGAAAATATGAAACGTTAATATTTAGTAGCCGCTACAGAACTATGGATATGAAGCAAGAAAGGTATTTAAAATTGAGTTATTATGACATGCTAGTTACACTTCAAAATATCAAAAGCAGTAGAAAATGTTATTTTTACATGGTTGATAATGAAATGCTAATAGAGGAGTGTGGAGTGACATTAAGTTATTTGTGAAGGCTTAAGAATTGGTGCTGCTATTTGTTCTTCATTGTCCATGTCCAAAATATGGCCTTCCTGTAAAAAACATGGTTTATCATCAATATCTTTTAACTTTGTGTTAGAATATTGATTTGCCATTGAGTCATTTTCTATGTTAGTACTATAGTGAAGTAAAAAATTCTGCTTCTAGGTAGAATAATTTAAGCTTATTAGAGTGTATAATTTCTGTTTGTTTTCTTTGGGGGTAAATTGGGTTTATTAATTTCATATGTGACTGGAGAAAGTTGTTTTAAAATAGTAAATGGGCCTATATATCTTTGAGTTAATTTACCAGTGTTTGGATAAATAAAGGTTTTACTAAAACCTAATCTCCTTCTTTAAAAAATGGGTTCTGGGTGTTTAATATCATAAAGTTGTTTGCTGTGTTCATGGGATTTTATGGTTCTTTCAATGGCTAATTTTCTTGCCTTTTCTATTGGTGTATGTGTTTCTGTGTCATGTTCTATATACTGTGGTTGTATTCCATAGTATAAGAATTTAGGAGTAAAGCCTGTTGTGGTATGTACTGTTTCATTATAGCTTTCAGTAATTTTAGGAATATATTTTGTCCGAGGAATCTTTAAATTAGCATTATATTCACATCTTAACCTATTAATGATAGTAGAATTTAGTCTTTCTACTTTTGCAATTGTTTCTAGATGATGGGAACTGGTGAGTAGATGCTTAACATCATTTCTTTCTAAAAAGTGTTTAAATTTTCTGCTAAGAAAAGCTGCATTTCTATCAGTTATTAATATTTCAGGTTTATTAATTTGGAATAAATTTCTTAGACAAGTTATATAAGAATCAGTTGATACAGATTTTGTTGGAAAAGCCCAAAGGAATCTACTATGATGATCTACTATCATATGGATACTGTGTCTTGTTGTCCCATAATTATGTAACCCGCCCAATGTATCTAGAGAAAAAATGTGATTTGGGTGTGAAGCTATTGGCATCTGTTGTAGTGGTCCATAAACAATTCTGTTATCCCTAGACTTGTTGAACTGGCAAGTTTCACAATGTTTGGTGTAATTAGCAATATCCCTAGTCATATGTGGCCAATAATAGTGTGGGGAAATTATTTTAGTCATTTGAGTTGTTCCAATATGTCCATGCTTTGTATGTACTCTGCTTAATAATTTGTGCCTTAGTGTTTGTGGTACATAAGCTCTTTTAAAACCCTTTCTAATAATTGTAAAGAGACCATTTTGTATTTTAATTTTACTATTGTTAATTTGTTCTGTTGATTGGTGTTCTTTTAACTCATTATATGTTAGGTGAAATGAGACAGGTGCTCTTGAGAGCATGTCTGCTTCTATATTATTTAATCCTTTAATGTGTTTATGTCAAAGCTATATTGAGATAGGATTAAGAAACATCTAAATAATCTACCATGTGGGTTTTTTACATTTTTTATCCATTTTAAAGGTAAGTGATCTGTGTGCAAGGTAAATGTATGTTGTGTAAGTATGTATGAAATATTTGTACTGAATTAATGATAGCTAATGTTTCAATTTCTGAGGCAGTATAATTCTGTTCATATGGATGAAGTTTTCTTGAAAAATAACCTATGGGGTGTAAGGTGCCTTGTTCATCTGGTTGTTTAAGAACTCCTGCTACTCCTAGACTTGACGCGTCTGTGAATAAATTACATGGTTTTGATGGGTCATAAATATATAGTACAGGTTGTGATATGAGTGAATTTTTAAGTGTTTAGAATGCTTGTTCATGTTTCACACTCCATAGCCAAGCAGCATTTTTTAAACAAAAGTTCATTCAAAGGTGCCCTAATTTGCGCATAATGGGAAATAAATTTTAGAATTGCTTCAATATTTGTGTTATTTGGTGTATATTATCCTGAGTTAATAGTGTATCCTAAGAATTGAATTTCTTTTTGTAAGAATTTGCATTTATTGAGATTGAGCTTTATATCCTCTTGTTCGAATATACCTAATATGTCATTTAAATGTTTAATGCGTTCTTCATAAGTTT